GCTGACAAGGTGGAGGACGTTGCCGATAAGGAAGCGAAGCTCCAAGCGGTCTTGAATGAGCGTGTTCAATTGCTTACAGAGTGCGACCAGAAGCAGGAGAGCCAAATCAAAGAGATTGATGGCAATGAAAAAAAGAACCATGAGGAGATTGAGATCTTAAAGGCCAAGGTGGCCTCTCTCGTTGAGCACCTTGAAGGACAGGATGACCCAGCCGACATGCGGGCGAAGGTCGATGATATCATGGAGCAGATTGAAAAGTTGGCGAAACGCGATGAAACTCAGCAAGCTGAAATTCAGAACGTTGCTGACAAGGTGGAGGACGTTGCCGATAAGGAAGCGAAGCTCCAACAATTGTTGAACGAGCGAGTTCAGTGGTTGACAGACTGCGACCAAAGACAGGAGAGCCAGATCAAAACGAACGACCAGGAGATTGAAATTTTGAAGGCCAAGTTGGAATCTCTTGTCGAACGCCTCGATGGTCAGGCTGACCCAGCGGATGTACAGATGAGGATAGATGACATCAATGACCGCATCGAGAAGCTAGCGAAGCGTGACGAAGTCCAGCAAGGTGAAATTGGGGATGTTGCTGACCAAGTTAAGGATCTTATCGGCAAGGTCATGGACGTTGTCGAGAGGGTCAACGATGTTGCAGAGAAGGAAGCGAAGCTCCAGACGGAATTAACGGAACAAGTTCAGTTGCTGACAGAGTGCGACCAGAAACAGGAAAGCCAAATCAAGGAGATTGATGGCCATGAAAAGAAGAACCATGAGGAGATTGAGATCTTGAAGGCCAAGGTGGCCTCTCTCGTTGAGCACCTTGAAGAACAGGATGACCCAGCCGACATGCAGGCGAAGATCGATGATATCATGGAGCAGAGTTGAGCAGCTAGCGAAACGTGATGAAACCCAGCAAGCTGAGATTCAGAACGTTGCTGACAAGGAAGCGATGCTGGAACAGGAACTGACTGAGCGAGTTCAGTTGTTGACAGACTGCGACCAGAAGCAGGACGGCCAG